CAGCGCTCTATACGCTTCTTTGTACAGCTGAGGCCAGTCGGTTATGCTTCCATACAAGCCACGGATATGTACAAAGTCCAGGCTTGCCTTCTTCTCAACCCATTCTGCATGTGCATCTTCAAGGTAGAAGTGGCAGTTTGGAGGCACCCAATTTGGCTGGATTGGACTGATGTCCGTCCCAATCACTTCAGCCGATGGGTACTTATCAGCCATGTCTATAGCCCAGATACCCGTTCCCGTTCCCAGATCTAGGATTCTAGATGGGTTCTCGCCAATAGGAGCTTCGAAGAGTCGATCTTCCTTGACCATCGTCAAGAAGTGGTGCGCTATGTCGTAGCATTCGAATTGGGCCTCATCGATGGGACCCCAATACTGCGGTGACCAGAGTTGGAATTTTCGTCTGTGAATCAAAAAGTGATCTAGTGTGTCCAGATCGTAGTCAGTTTCGATCAGAGGCTTTTCCTCCGTGACGCCCTCATCACGAGCGGTGCTGTGAGTTGCAATTGAATCTGCATCTCTATTTTTGTCTTCGACTTCGTCTTCATCTGCACCTGCTTCTATATCTGAATCTGAATTTCGACAAGTTCCGTCGGATTTTGGGTCCATGTGGGTTTCCTCTCCACGTGAAAATTTCGCCGGTGGGTTTGTTGAGGCGAGTGTTGATAGTTCCGAGGGATCTCTGGATGTAGGGTCAACAATTCTGGAGGAGCTGCGCAAGGCAAAAGCTCGTCGACCTCTCATTTTCCGCTGCTTCAAAATGAGTCTCACTCTCACGAGGCCATTAACATCGTCCTCATCAGATTCTGACTCTGACTCCTCTCTCGTTTCAGCCGAGCCACACCGTCGATCTTGAGACTCGAGGCGAATTCTCTTTCGCCGCTGACGACGATTCCCAGAGTTTTCGCTATAATTTACGCCTCGTTTTCTTTTTGAGTATGGTCTTTGTGCGACTAGCGACGAATGCTCAAGAGATGGCTCCCGAGACTTTTCCTCGTGGAGGTGTTGGTCTTGCTCCTCGGGATCAATCTCCTCTATCTCTATGACTCTTGTGTAGAACATGTTGCAGTTCTCGCTATACACGTCAATAATGAACTTTCCCAAAAAAATGTTGAAGTTTCATCTACCATTGAACCTCAGTGGTTTCCCCACTGGGAGAAACGTGATGACACGATGGACAACTCGTCGTCTGCATTGAGTTACTGTCATTTGGCATCTCTTTACAAAGAATGCTCATATTGACCTTTTGATAAGGACGGAAAGCGCGGCTCCATGGTGTTGATGAGCTAAGCTCGTTGTGAGTTGCATGATCCTGTAGTGCGTACCGACGTCTAGCAACACGGCCTTCACCGTTTTTGCCTTTGAATTGCTCCCGGATAATGTGCTCAAAGGTATCCCAGGACGTTACCGCTCGGAGATGAATGGGAATCTGTCGTCCGATTGCATCGTCAAGCATGAAGTGTTCTTCGACGACTGGCCTCTCCAGTCTCATCACCAGCGAACGTAGCCCGCGGAGCTCACTGCAAACAACGGAGCCAATTCTGATGATGCGACTAGAGGCTAGCTTCAGATCACTTCCCATAGATGAAACAGTCTGCAGTGTGAGACTGACTCGATTAGTGAACTGCCCAAACAAGTCATGGAGGCTTAGGGTCTGTTGTTTGATCGTTGCCGTCATTCGACCCTCCATCACACCGAGATGTCGCTGCATATTTGTTTGATTGCACTTAATCAACTGCCTGTTAGTTATGTCATCAGCCTTCAGTAACGTTGCGAACATTTTCAGTGGAGATACTGCTTACATTGTCACAGCGTGAAGCAAAATCTTCAGCGATGCCGTGTAACCTGCAATTTCCCCACGGAACTTGCTGACGTCTTCTTCATCCAACTTCCATTGTATCTTTTTCACGGCATCCTTGATGATATTACCCGAGCCGTTGCGTACAAGACTGGTGGAATACTTGTTGATTTTCTGTCGAAATTCTGTCAATCTGCAGGTAATTTGTCTTGCTGTGTCGAGCGCAACCGACCGAAGGCTGTCCAACTCATTTGGCGCCCGCGGATCACTCAAAACACCTTCCAGTTCCTCGAGCGCCTTTTTCATGACGTTAAGGCTCTGGACGAGTTCCTGAAAGTCACGGGATGAGCCTCGACTATCGTTGAGCGCATTGACTATATCCCTGATGATCAGAGCGACCGAGATAAAATCTCCAACGGCACCAAAAGTCACTTCCATTTTCGCTCAATCATGCAGGGATGGCGGGCATTGGCCCAAACCAGGCTGGGCCGTCTGCAGTCTGGTGCAGAGTAGGGACGGGGAGCGTTTGATGATGTTCAAGTCGACTTGTGACGGAGGTTCACGAGTTCAAAAGATCGAGGCAAAGGTGGTACGAAAATCTCGAGAAAGCGACTGAGAAGGAACCAGAAAGCCAGTCGACTGGGGGGTGCGGACAAGATATGTTTATTAGGGGTAGGCAGGGCCTCGAAAACGAGGCTTCAGGCTTGGTGGCTATGTGGATGCAGGGGTGGCATTCAGCTCCAATACTATTCGTTTACGCGTGACGTTGCCTGCTAGTCAGCCTCGAGTGGCCTTGCGCCATGTCAGGCTTTTTGCTTTTGTATTTAGTAACCCCTTTATTTTATCGATAGAGGCTAACGCCTAAGATAGGAAAGAGTCCAAGTTCTCATGGTTTAGCGTACCAAATTATTCTTTGGAGCAGAGTCTGTGCATCGTGGTCGACATGAATGAAAGGCGAAAGCTCTAGCCTCAGCAAGCCAGTATAACACTGATAGTGGTGGTTTGAACGACAAACTACGCTGGCATCTGATAGCAATCACCACGAAGTTTGTGTTCCAGTTACAAGCGGCCTTCCAGAGCACCCACGCCAAATATGAAGCTGTGATTCCAGCGTGAATACACTCCGGAATGCAATCAAAGGCCGTCAGAAACGCCGGCGTAATACTCTTAGACTTGAGAGGGCAAGTTTCGTCATCAGAGGGTTTCAGGTTTTGTCACAAGTCTACACATAAATTAGTCAATGTAATGCTCCAACTAGGAACATTGGTACAAGAAACCAGTAGATGCGGATCCTTGTGAAGCTGGACGGGCTTGGATCTAGCTGTCGGTACATTCTTTAGGGAATAATAGAGAGATGCAATGTCCGCCTGCTGGTTACACTACGTTGTACGCTGACTGCCCCTCTTCATTTGTCTCAAAAAATACCATGGATAGAAGATTGTAACAGCATTTTAGAAGTGCCATCATTCAGTCCCCCGAAACAACCACTTTTAACGTCACGATCTAAATGCATGTTGTTGCCTGTTGGAATGATAGAAAGTGGATGTTGGACGACGGCGGCCATATTTCATAAAGAGCCATTGGCGGCAGAGTGGCGATGAAAATAAGCGACCAGGTATTTCATGACTAAAATATGAATTGGCCATGGAGCTTTAGTATCAGAGGGATGGCGTGTGGATAAGCAAAGATTGAAGATAGTCTTGTCGTTCACTATGCCTCTGGAAGTGGATTTCTGCCCTCAATAGACCCATGGACCTCAGCACGATGGTCTTGTCTCATAATCCATGCTCCCTGACTCCACTTCTCTGATGACTGAGGATCGTTGAAAATCGCATCACATTGATCGCAATACTGGGGAGACTACAGAGTGAGAATGAGTTGGTCAGCATTCAACGAAAAGAAGCAGAAGATGAGGAATGGTAAGGGCCAACCTTGTATCTCTCCACAAGTTCAGGGGGGTTATACAAACCCCGGTACTCATGTATATGGACAGCGAAAAGGCCCATTCGACCTTCATCTACGATCCCAGTATTGGTAACTCCATCACAGTAGGATAGAATTTCCTTTCTCAACTCTTCGAACCCCGTTGGGACTTCACTAGAGAGGTCTTCGCCCAACCTCAGTTCGCGATGGGCATAGATTGTGATCCAAGAATAGGCAACGTAGGCAACGGTAGAAGCATTGTGTCCTTCTCTCGAAGGGATCAGAACACGAAACCCATGCTTGCTACCAGTACCACTCGCGGCGGTGATCTTGGTGTATAGGAGCGCGGAAATGGGATCGTCGTCAGGATGTTTTCGTAGCATTGGTGGGGTGCCATACGTTTCGTCTACTCCATTCGCCTGAAGAAAGGCATCGAGAGCGGTGACTGATATCTTGAATCCACGAAGCATAGTAGCTGAGCCTAACATGACTGCCTCGGTTTGAGTCTTAGCTGGGTGAAGTTTCCTGGGTGCCTGTAGTGCAGTTGTTGGTGACGGTGAATCGAAGTGAAGAGTCGGAAGTATCCAGATCACGAAGAGAAAGAGTCAGTCAAATGCAACGAGGGAAATTTCCACACAATATACTGATAGCAAGAACTAAGACATGTGTACCTCAGCCAATAGTATTGTGGATGAAGATGACACCCAGCTTATTTGCATGGATGTTGTAGGCAGCAACGGCTTTCGTGGTGAGATGGCTCCGAGCCTTGCTTGCCCTCCAATTGATTAGTAGACCGTGAAGCAAACATTTTAGACGTAGAAGATGCGCAAACGAAGGATAGTTACCAGTCTTTCTTCTCATCATGCCAGGGATTCTGTCAATACTCTTGCTGTCCCACATCATCGTTAATACGTACAGTTATATGAGGTTGCAACAGACCATAGACTCAAGCAATGAAGTTAGCAAGAAAAATAGCCTAGGCTTCTTTCATCAGTGCCTAGATCTTAATCATACTCCAATTTTTTTGCTGGACTCTTACTCTACGCGAACCCTGTCAGCAGTAGTAAGTGGGTGTGCTACGATGAGTATCTGAAGAGGCACCACGCACAGCCCAAACTTGAGAATCCGACTTTTTCGCGAAAGGCGTTGACCCAAGGGGAATGAAAGCATTCATAGAGCTCTGGTTGCAATGATGGAGAACAATAGGTGGAATTTTACACTGGCCTGGATAGTACGTATATATACTGAAAAAATGAAAATTCACAGCAAGAATCCTCGAGTGGGTCCTATAGTCTAGTGGTCAGGACGTTGGATTGTATGTCTCCACCTCACGCCTACTCAAGTTCACCGCTAACCTCCAAACAGTTGACTCATAATCTGCCTTCCAAAGTCGCCAGTTCGAACCTGGCTAGGACCTCATTTTTTTGCTCTTTTTCGGCATTTCTAACCTGGACCCCCTAGGACCCAACCTCAACATCGTCCTCCATAAACTCGGGGGCTTGATTAAGCAGCCCTCGCAAGGTTGCCCCTCTCCACACCGGAGGTGGGGGCCTTTGATTCAACCCACTGAGTACCATCATTCTGGTCCGCCGCAATGGATCTGAATCACTTCGACATGATGAGTCCTTTGGACCGACTTTCTATGATATCGACGAGGCAAGAGATGAACATGGCTCAAAATGCGAATAGTCTTTAGAAAACAAGGTGGACATCAACGTTGCAATTGCGCAACATTTAGGTGGCTCCGCCCACTCTAGAGATTCAGAATGTTCTGAGCTTTCTGAAGATTCGGCGCATGAATCCAACAGTTCCGACGCCTCAGATTCTGAACAGTCAGATTCTATTGATTGTGCGCTTTCGGGCGATCCAGGTAAGTCATCGGCATTTTAAAATCTAGCGCTGTGCTAATAACTTTCGCGACAGAAGAAATGACTATTATGGGGGCCAACGAGCAATCACCAACATCTCCTTACAGCTAGGAACAGGAATGAGATGTCCTAGCTTCGCTTCAGATAGCATATGACCCTAAGATCTCCTGGGGCGAGCACCTCCTAAATATGGTCGAAGACAGCGTCGGGACAGATGTTAGGCGTGAAATCAAGTGTTTCGCCCAGGACACTCGACGACAATCCCATGAAATCCTACAACAGCTTCTTTTGAGCCCCCCTACAGAATCTTTGGACTCCTTGTTGAAGCGAGGCGAAATTTCCGGCTGGGCAACCCATGATACAGGTGTATATCTTCTCTGCAACGAGTTTGTTCGCCATATCGAAAGAGTCGACGGCCTACAGGATACAAGATATTTATCTAAGCCTTCGGGGCCACTGCGAACACCTTTTACGTGTGTCTGGGCATATCCCACATACTCAACTAAAAAGCAGATGTTTGGCCATACTATGGACAAAACAAATCTCTATCTTGCTGGACAATACGCGAAGATTGGACCACATCCCACCGTTCGAACGCAAGATCGGTTCCCAGTTCAAGAGTCACACAACGACAAGGGCGTTCCATGGGTTATGATATATCCTAAATGGCGACAAATGGAATAGGCATGCTTGCTTCTCAATCAAAGGCTGAACAAAAACTCAAGATTCCTCATCCTACTGGGCGAGGACAACTATCAGCCATTTAACAAACTCTTTAACAACAGCCGGATCAAGACGGTTTCCTTGACTCTGAACGGGTTCAAGCTCTACCAGGAGCCCTACTGAGTTAAGTTACGAAGAGATATAGACTCAGGGAAGATTGTTCAAGTGGTTTGGTTCTCCAAACACACACAGCACTTCTTCTATCTCTATTACATGTCCCCGGTGCGGTGTTTTCGCGACCTAATGTGGAATGGGATTTGTGAGCTTACTGGAGTTTCGGTTAGAGAACGTTTCTGTTTCTCTAGCCGGGCATTCTCTGCTGGGTAACCAACCTCGTCCATTTCAAGAACGCACGGGTTACTTGAGACAGCTATTCAAATGCGGATAGTTAAAAAGGGGATAGGGAAGCCTTGTCCAGAAACTTACATTCGTCAGATCTTTTGAGTTTGGATCGATAAAGATCCGGTCGTAGCTGCACGCTGAGTCCTTTTAACAGTTGCAAGTGGAAGCTATCTAGCTCCTCTCTTTGCGAACAAGCAGTCCGAAAGCGGACGGACATCAGGGCCTACCAATATCCGCAAGATGATCGTTTCTAATATGGAAAAATACCAAGGTAAGGACTGGAAAAAAGCGTCGCCGGAGCGAGCAATGAGGATGAAGCAAGGAAAAACTTGTTGTTGAGAAGTTACATGAGGAGAACGCAGAAAAGCGCCGACTCGGGCAGTTTTTAAAACCAGGTCGTTCATCTCATGCGTTAGCACAGTTCGAAAATAACAAGCGAGCCTATTGGACGCAACACGCTGGACGACTCGCAAAAGTGATGCTTAATGCGTCAGACGAACGATCCGCCGTTGGTTCCCAGAAAGGCCTGGAGAGTAGCGTTTATGTCAGGAAATTGAGGAGCGTCTACAAAGCCAGAGCCCTGTTCAAGGTCCTCCAAGTCATCCACATTCTGAACAAGGAACTTGAGCCCTTTCATGAGAAGAGGGACCGGAATGGTTTGAGTCGAAGATCGAAACTATTAGTACTACGTGATCTACTCAACAGTCCACAACCAGAGATTCCTGACAAGCTTGTGCGATGGATGAGAGAAAGTGTCGGGTTCCAGACCTACTCGGGATTTCGAGCTGAGAATACGGTGGGATGCATGGTGTCCGAGTATGAGAAAGTGTCCAGGAAATTGGACCCGTCCCCCTCAAACCGGAGGCCATCCGGATGCTTCAAAGGATCATAGAAACGGTCACGGCGTCGTCGGGAGTAAAAGGGCAAAGAAGTCAAGCCAGCAGCGCCTTGCATTGAGATGAACAAGCAACACTGCGATTGGCGTTTGAGGGGCGGGAGAAAGCCTTGAGCAGTCTCGACGGGCAGAGGAATAATCTGGTACGCAGTTCGAGTCCCACTCATCCGCAACGTATGGCGACGAAGCATGTGTGGCACTACAAATTGCGAAAGCATAGAACTATGAGAGCTGTCACATTGAAGTAAGGAATCTCGCCGCCCTCGATAAAACTAGCTAGGTTAATATGAGGAACAACATCCGGGCGTCGAGGCCGGCTGTGCATATATCTAGTCTTAGAAGCTGTTTCATTGAACAGATTGAACAGGTTGAACAGATAGAACAGATAGAACAAGCGTTCTAGCCCGCCAGGTAGACTGACAGAAATAAGAAACTTTCAAACCTCACCGATCCATCGACATCCAAGGTGACACCTCTACAATTGATGATCGGACGGTGCATCCGTCAGCTTCCATATCGGATTTTTACATCATCGAGCTAGCAGCTCACAACAGATGACCAAGTCGAAGGTCCCAGGCTCAGGCTAGCTCAGGCTAGCTTACCACCAGCCTGGAGCAGTTCAGGCCAGCTCAAATCAAGGCAGCGAGGGCTCAATTCCAAGGAGGGGAAATCCTCGGCGTCGGTTTTTGGATCGTGCATGGGCTGTCATCAAGCATGTCCCAAGTCAGCCGAGCTTGGATGCTGAGAAGTCACGTGTTTCAAATCACATGGGCTGTGATTGGCCAATTCAGGTGGGCGAATTGGGTCCGCCATTCAACTTCCTCCCAAATCAGCCCATCCTCACAAATCCCTCGACAACACCTCTCCAAGCAACCTCCAAACCACCATCGCCGGCGCAATCGACACAATGTTCATGCAACGCACCGCCATCGCCGCGGCCCGCCGCGCCGCCGTCCGACCCGCCGTCGCCCGCTCCTTCACCACCTCCTTCGTCCGCCGTACGCATTTTGCTCCCGCCCGCCCAATGGCAATCCTCGTATGATGGTGATGGGAACGACGGCTGACCTGATTGTGCTCCAGGCGATGCTCCCAAGGCCCCCGCGGCCGCTGCCGAAACCAAGGTCGGCTCCTACAAGACTCTGAAGGGTACGTCGCCACGATTCTGAGCCCCGATTGCCATCGACTGGCAACCCCCCAATAACCTCGGTCGAGTCATCTGTGAGGACCACATCCGCTGACCAAAAGTCACCAACAGAGGTCAAGACCGACGCCGACCTTTTCGGCCCCGGTGCCAAGCCTGGAAGCGTCCCCACCGACCTCGAGCAGGCCACTGGTCTGGAGCGTCTCGAGATTCTTGGTAAGATGGAGGGCGTCGATATCTTCGACATGCGCCCTCTCGACGCCAGCCGCCTCGGCACGATGGAGAACCCCATCCTGGTCCGATCCGCTGGTGACGAGCAGTTCGCCGGTTGCACTGGCTTCCCCGCCGACTCCCACAACGTTCAATGGCTCGGCGTAAGTTATTCCTCGAGGTCCGGACAGACGGCACTGATTTGCTAACCGCACATTTGATCACAGATTACCAAGGAGCGCCCCATTGAGCGATGCCCCGAGTGCGGCAGCGTCTACAAGATGGACTACGTCGGCCCCGAGGATGACCACCACCACCACCACGCCCCCGAGTTCGAGGAGCCCAAGACCTTCGCCGACTACATCAAGCCCGAGTACCGATACCGATAAATGCACACACCGGCAGCATGGACCAGATTGTTGTATTGGAACTCTAGATGAAGGCGGGATGGTGTCCCGGGGAGAGCAGCGGTTTTGTGTAGATTAGGGTACTTTTTCCCTGTGTCAATTTACTTGCTTGCAGAAGACGATTTTGACCAACTTTTGTGCCATTCTCGGTGTTCCTCGTGTCGCTTTGAAGAGGTGACAAGTCCTGGATATCGGGTATCTAAGATCCTTGGAAACTGTAGTTGATACGCTTGCATGGCAGTGATGCAATCCCACACGGAATCAGATCTCCAGACCAATTCATGCGGCTCCGTCCGGATCTACTCACTTCTAGCTTGACGTTCAGATTGTAGTTGCGACCATATCAGGCCAGAAGGTTGTCACCGGGACAATCGGTCTGCTGGTATCTAGTAACGACGGGATTTCACGGACTGAGATTGTACTGCTGCTTCGGCGTCGGCTGATGCAGGCCCGGAAGGGACTTGGGCGATTAGGAAGTGGCGTGAGCCCCTCCGGTTTGCAGGCGCCGAATTGGGCAAGACAGGCCATGTGGTTATGGCAACGGCCCAAGAACTGCTTAGACATGCCCAGACTGGCCGCGAATAGCGAAAGCTGTGCCCCTCGATCCGTCCGGTTCAACCCTCATCCTCGTCGAAGCTCAACTTGATCTTCTTGGACTTCTTCTTGGGTTTGCGGTCCTTGGTTCCCTCTTTGGCCTCGCCATCTTTTCCTCCCTTGACCGCAGTGTCCTTGTCCGCGGGCTGGTCCGCCGAGTCGCCGCCAATGACCTTTCCAACCTTGCGTTTCCGTCCGCCGATGGAGACTTTGCTGCTGTCCGCTTCCTTGACAGTC